TAAAATTATTTTGTTTATCAAAGAATAGCCAAACTAGACACTATTCAAATAATTAGCTATTATTTAAAAAGATAAATACAGAAATCTGAAAAAGTAAAACAAATCCAATATCTATCTGACATTTAACCCCTCCAATAAAAACACAAGATTTGGAATTCTAAAAACAATAATTTATTGACAGGATGGCGAACTTGTTCATTAACATTGAAACAACTAAATTGTTTATAGGTGATTATTGTCAGTATCCAATTTTATTTAAAAAAAAATTATAAGCAGCTTACGGGAAGCAAAACTTAATCTAAATAGATATATCAAAACATTGAAATTTAAAAACAATTATAGTATTTTTAATACCTATTTAGAAGTACCAGTCGTTCTAGTGACTAAACGTATGTCGCTTCTTGAACACACAAATAAAATTAGGTTAGAAATTTTCTATTTGTACATGAAATTGACGTAGCAATCGACGATCGTTTTTGTTGGTAATTTTTTGTTTCATCTGATTCATGATTGATAAATAAGGATGGAATTATTCTAAATGGGTATTAAAAATACTATAAATAGACACCTACTATTTAAACAGTAGTTAGCTAAAGACTACTATACGGTAAACAATAAGTCGGTAATTGAATTTACAAAGATATTTATTAGCTAACAGGCGCGGCTCGTGAGTTTTTTTACAGGTGGGCCAAATTAAGAGGGACAGCGCCGCAGGCTAAAATAGCGCCTTAGGCGAAAAAGTTTTGGTATTAAACTAAATTTTTTGGCTTTAGTTTTTGTCTTTTTGTAGGAATTTAAATTTGAATATTTGAATTTCGCGCTCATTTATGGTCATTTTGAAATTTGACAATTGATGACGTAGATGTTGGGTTAGTTAGGGTTAAAATCTGTTTTTTTGTTAAAGATAAAAGTCAAAATGACATTATGTTGGCAATACAATGTAAAATTGTCAATGCTTTCAAATTTTTTATGTAGAAAAGGCTTGTGTTGCCAACATTAGGTGGGTTCGGCTATTCAGCGCGGAGTTGGAGTGGAGTGAACGGAGCTAATGGAGTCACCCCTATTACGGTAAAAAGCAATACCTGAACGTTAACCCGAACGGCTGGAGTGCGAATGGAGTCACTCGGAGTGCACGGAGTGAGCAAGCCGAACCCACCTATAGTTACTAAATTTTTGACTTGGGGAATTACCTTTAAAAAAAAAAACACACTTTAGTTGGCGGAGGAGAGGTGAAATATCCTTGCTCCTAATTTCAGGTTACCTATGTCTTTATGTCTTACGTCAAGTAGAAAACAACAGGAAAATACAACAACAATTTAGTTAATTATACCCATCCCTATATCTTAAATAGAAAAAATAACTTACTTTGGGTGGGTCTAATGTTTATTAATTAAGTCGACTGAGTCCCAAATTTAGACACGTTTGAACAACAAATTAAATCTCCTATCCTGATGAGCAAAGTGGTCAATGACTAGTTCATTGAAGTTCCCAATTTTTTTGATAAATACCTTCTCAATCTCAATACTGAGCATAGCCAATGCACTCAACCTAGACTGCTCTTTCATGGTTTGGCATAAATCAAGCTTTGGTTTTGGACGACCACTTTTCTTTAATTCCAACCGTTTTTCAAAAGTCAATCCCCCACTGTAAATTAAAGAAATTATTTCCTGAACAAGGGAACCCATTTTTGTGAAGCGATTAAAGAAAGATTACTCAAAAAATTAAATCAAAACAAAAACAATGTGCACAATGACAATTCAGTAATTGTTTTAAGAAAAATAACTCTGGACACCCCAACACTCTAGGCCTTTTGTTTTTCATCTTTCTTCAATAAATGCGATTGAAAAACGACAATAAAATCGTCGAATTCTGAGCGCTCTTGTCGATTCCGATAAATACCTATATCGATCGATCGAGGATGTGGCGCCGCTGCCGGCCGTCAACGTGATGGATCATATGGAAGCAAATGTGCCTCTTTATCTTGCTCATTTACGCCCGTTATGTCTCTCTCTCTCTGATTCCTATTGCATTCGCCTATGATCATTTCAAAGCTATAACCCCATTTTTAAATACGGCCGAGCGCAGCTAGGCCTGTATTTTGTAATTTTTAAAGGCGGTTACCCAATATGCGCAAAATAATTCGATGTCTGTATTCTGTTGAGCGTGATGTTGGTTAATTTAAAACGTAATATTCAAGATGTTTAATTGAAAATTTATTGTTTGATTTTTTGGTGGGTCATTGACCGAATGAGCTTACAGAGAAGCCGCGCCTGTTAGCTAATAAAGCTAAATGATAGGGGGCGATAAAGAAAAGGTAAAAATAAGTTACGGTAATTAAGATGGCACGTTTAAGACACCCATAGGTAAGTAATTATACAAGCCTGGACGGAATCCTTGTAAAGCCTCGGGAGCATTCACAAATTTAAGCTCTGGAGGTACGAAACTGGCTTGAGACAACCAAATAATGGTTGGGAATCAACTTCTTACAGGACACAAACTTTCCTTGAAAGGGGGCCCAGATTTGCTCTGAGATTCAGGACAGCATGGTCTTAAATTTGTCAATTTTCACTTGTAGAAGTGCAGTCACGGATTTTTCGTCCTGCCGAAGGTGCCTGAATGAATTGAGGGGATATAAGGACTCATTGATCGAGGAAAAAAAATATTAGATATGCAGGATGGAGGAAAAAAAAAATCACAGGTAAATAATGCTATCAATAGAACAATACATTATGATGATTTGTTCAGAGTAGCTAAGGAAGAGGCAATGGGTTGTGGAATTTACCAATAAAGGTAGAAATCATTCAAGCCAATACTACAAATTAACGAAGAAACCCCAAAGAACACCGTGATTTGCAAAAATTAAAAGGGCTGACAGAGAAAAAACTAGTGTCTTTTACAGATTCAGAACTACACATTGCCTCATACCTGAACACAAATACAAATTTGGCATGCAGGACAGCGAGAATTGTGAATGTGGTGAAGTGGATGATAACAATAATGTGCTCTTGAACTGTGAGCTGAACAGAGCTCCGACGGATTGGTTGTATTCAAGACTGAACAAGATGGTAGGACGACCGATACAGATGGAATAAATCCTTGCATACCCAACCAGCATGGAAGCAGAGATGGTTATGGAATGTATCAAGAAGTTTGACATAGGAATCTGAAAATAAGCAGTAATTCATGTTTACATTTGAATTGCAATGTGATACTATTTCGAGTATTGCATGTCCATTTTTTCGGGCACATATCCTACTTACGCCTATTTTCCTGGCGTTTCCAAATTTCCCGCTGTGTACCTATGCCACAGCAAATAATTACCAATTCATCCCCAATCGGAACTTGGGGTGGGGTTACCCCAATTGGAACTTAGGGTGGGATTACCCCACCCCGATGCGCTAGAGGACACAAGTGATAGGATTCTGGTCATTAGTAAACAGGAAAAAGAATAAGAAGATAGACGATTTAATGTCCATTGAAATTATTCCTTATTCATAAAACCCAATGGAATCTTCCCTACTAACTCTGTGCAAAATCGAGATTCAATTTAAAGGCAAAATCTCAACTTGGAAAAATTTAAAATTTAAAAATGTTTATACTTTTATTCATACTTAAATTTCCTCTCTTTTTTCATGCTGCATACATAAACATAAATATCGATCAAATTCAATCACATTAAAATTAAAATTGAAATATGTGCGTTAACAAAGCTGAAATCGATGATATCAAAATGTCATCATGGTTAAATTTGCCTTAATAACAGATTGAGCGAATATTAAATCCGTTCAAATTGACAACAATTCAATATCAACTTTTTTGCATGTTAATCATGAATCAATAAAAGCTTTTCAGTAATTAACCAACAAATTTGTATTGTTTTTTGTATAGGCACATACCTACTTTTTGTTCATAAAATAACTATAATTGAAACTTTGTTATCGGCATACAATAATCTATTTTCGTTTTTAATGTTCGTGACTCTATGTCATCAAAACTGAAATTATTTATCGTTTAAACGTACTAATAATTTTTTGGCAGGTTATATCGAGCTGTTTTGTATAGATGATGATAAAATAAACCTATTAACTTGTGCGTATTTTGTTTTTGAAGATATTTTCGGATTCATTGTCTTTACAAACGATTAAGTTTAATGGTTTATATTTTGGTGCACGTTTTATGAGAGTCATAGCACTCCAATTTTCAGGAATAAATTGAAGCTAAGGCTAGAAAAAAAGGGTCAGGTCCTTCAGCAAATGGAAACATTTTTTGACGTGGAAGCTTAAAAAATGTTTTAGTTATTCTAACGGGATATCCTAGCCGGGACCAATTTCAGTCGAGTTTAATATACATAATGGGAAAGGAAAGGAGAGACGTCTAAATATTGTGGTAGCAAAATGAGGCACATTTATTATGAAATGTCCAAAATGTATATCTAATAGTAAAAACAAGATTTAAAGGTCTGGTAGGCAGTGAGATATTTCAATGCATTATGTCGTCCTTTGAAAGACCTTTATTTTTGATAAATGTACGTACACATTCATCGCTCATAAAGCTTGGTTTTCATCAGTCAAATATTGTTCAAAATATAAAAAAATGGTCTGGTAGATTTTTAATGTGTAGTGAAGTTGTTAAGCTTCAAAATCTTTACAATGACCCCCCTTCGATGTCTAGAAATACCCTCAGAGCCAGAACGTAGAATTTTAAATATTTCGGTAATTTTTTATGCCTTTATTACAGTCATTAGACACAAAATTGTTACTTGGAAAAATTTAATATTTAGATTTTTCCCAAAATATTACCATTACTTGCAACTGATGCATTTGAATTTCTTATCATGTCATAACTTCTTTGAAGGGATTCGAGATGGGGTGATAAAATATTTAAAGTTTCAAGAAAATTTTCAGAAAATATTATCTTGGGAGTCTGTTCAAACTTCCAAAGTAGAACACATCTTAAATATTAGATAACATTTTTAAAATCCGTCATAAAATTCCACTTACCTGCATGTTTGTGCACGATCATTCCTCCCGAAAAAAGAAAAAAGTATGTTCTTCAATGTATTTTCAATGTCCTCTCGTAAAACTTTACGGCGTAGATAACGTTTTTGAGAAAAATCACCACTCACACCCCACCAATCTTTACCGTTTCATGTCGAACACATTTCGTTTCATGACACTCTCACCTGCAACAAAAAAGAAGACTTTTAGCAAAGTTTGCTTAAAATTGCAATAAAACAGAAAGCATATTTTCTAAAAGTTCATAGCTGATTTTATTCTGCACCAAAGTAAATTTAAACCTTCCATAACGGAAATAAAGTACGCAGCAATAGTGGGGAAAACTTTTCGAAAACTGGCCACAACTTTTGTGATAACAGAAATAATAAAACTGGCAACGATCATTAGTGTAAATTAATGTTCATTTTGTTCTTCTTTAGCAGAAAAACTCCAGATTAAGGAAAAATAGAGCCAACAGGGAAAATTAGATTGATAACAAACACAGCGGAAATTGATCTGTCACGGATTCTTAAAGTGGAAAAACGGATCGTTTCGATTTTGCCTTTTGTTATGTCTGTCGTTTAAGATAAAGAAAAGGTAATAAGATTTTGTAAATTGTGAAAATGTTTCCTTAAAATACCTATTTGCTGTATTTTATTTTGAAAAGCTTTTATCAAAAACCTGTGTATTATACGAATCATATATAAAAATTCAATTCCTTAAAAATTTAAATCTTTACTAAATCTAATTAAGGTCAAGTTTATTATAACATCAAACAAGCAAACGAGATCATAAGCATACAGTATTTTTAGGAATATCACGATATAAAACAAAATGCATTCTCGGCGCACTCTATAATAATTATATCAAATATCACGTAATAATAATATCGATTTAATATAAAAGACGATGCATCAAACTCAATAAATCAGATTCAACCAGTGTGCTGTGTCTCTCAATACTTCCACAGTTAACTGTGCCAAAGCCTCCTTGGCCATAACAGATAGTGAGGCTGCTCTCTGACAATAAATATCCCAAAAAGTCCCTACCATCCCGCTGCTTAACTCAAGGCGTAGTAAAACAATTGTAATCTTCAGGCACACAGCCTGACAAGGCTTGGTAATTCAGTAGCTTGAAATAAGATCGCATACAAAACTATTGGTAACTGCGAAAAAAATTCTTTCCAATGTAGACATCCTGGAGTTGGAGTTAAGAAGTTGTTGAAGCGAAGCAAATTAAATTCAAAGTGGAAAAGTTTTTCCAAAGTAATAAAGACAATAATAAAGCAATCTCTAGATTTTGATGATTGAAATACGAGAGGCTTTTAGTTTGGGAAAGTTTTATTCCAAGAAATTTCCTATTCGTATAAGCTAAATAACTAATTTTTTCGAGAGGAGCTTTTTTTTTGGACAAAATCTACCTTAGTTCTACCTTCAGCTGAGCTAGAACAACAAAGTCTTTGATTGAAAAAAGTTAGGGAAAATTGGAGGATTAAAAATTTTGGTCCTGGGCGGGATTCGAACCCGCGTCTTCAGCATTGGCGGTGCTACGCTCTAACCAACTAATCCTAACCCTTCACGAAAGAGAGAAGGTACGTTACATGGTAAATGAATTGTTGTTTGTATCATTCGGGAAGCACAAGCGCCTTATTCTAGTCCCATTATTCTCGTAAAAAGGGAAACAGAGAAACGTGCATGTGCGTCGATTATCTTGTCATAAATGATAAAACCGTGAAAGACTATTTTCCGACGATCATCTTGAAACATTGAAAGGAGGTAAGTATTTTATCACGCTGGATATGGCAAGCAGCTATCATCAAATAAGAATAGTTGAGGATTCAGTACAGAAAATAGCATTCGTTACACCGGACAGGCAGTACGAGTATCTTCGGATGCCATTTGGATTAGTCAACGCACCAGCCATGTTCCAAAGGACAATCAACCAGACTTTAGGCTCAATAAGGTACTCAACAGCCCTAGCGTACATGGACGACATACTTGTTCCATCTCCGAGTCTCGAATCCGGATTAATAGCTTTGGCGGACGTACTTGAAAAATTCAGAAACGCGAGTGTTACATTACGTTTGGAAAAATTTAATTTTTTTCCAAAATCAGATTGACTACCTTGGACGAGATTAGTGCCAGTGGCACAACCGCCTTCACGTATCCAGCCATGAACAGACAAGTGGGCAATACTGCATCATCAATGACTTGGTGGTAGGACAGTCGCGAGTTGCGTTGCGTCCTGGCTGTTTAACAAGGGTTATAAATAAAAAATATAATTTTTTTTATTGTAAATATTTTATTTATAGTAAATAAGTACTTTTTATTGAGGCCCAGTTCGAGGGCAAGTTTTAGCAACATATTTACAAAACAGAACAAATCTAAATCATCGAGTAATCATCTAACTAGTTATACAAAGAAGCAGAAGCATACCGACCTTGGTAGGTCCTATATGAATTTAAATTTAAACAGATGTGGTTGGATACCAAATTATACTTATTATAGTGATAGATAATCATCTGCGCGAATAATGGCTGTTTCCGCAAAGTGTAGAGCACAAACAAAAGAATATTTTGATGGTGCCCAGTTATCCCTAGGGATTAATTTTAATCATTTTTTTCTTAAATCACCATCATTTGGAAATTTGAAGGTAGAAACAGCTGTCTTACCTTGTTTTAGGGTACTCTCATAATTGGATTTGCATCAATTGCATCCCGGGACACCAGCACGTTTTCGGCATAATAAATTATTTTGAGGGTACGTAGCGAGGTACGTAGGTACCAGTAGTACATAACTGTCCACCGTAAGCTTCGAAACACAACAAATTACACGGCCTACTTAGGACGTCAAGTTTTTCGACGTTTGCGACAGGGTTGCTACACCCTTAATTTAAGCATTTGAAAGCTGAAATTTTTGGCAGAAAATGAAGAAAACTCAAAGCCTCGTACTTTAAATCGGTTTTCCTGATCGAAAAAGCTTTGAAAAAGCGGAAAATCCAAAGAAAAACCAGCGAAAATTACATTCCAAATCTTACTTCATAAAACTTGAGATTTCATCACTCACTCCATTGAAAAACTAAAAATTTTTGACACAAAATGAAGGCAACTCAAAGCCTCGCACTTTAAATAGGTTTTCCCGATTGAAAACGGCCCAAAAGGTGGAAAATTCAAGGAAAAACTGGATAAAAACACTCGAAAATGGCCAACTGTCAATACCAAATGACAAAGCCTACTTGATAAAACTAAAGTTTTTCCCACTTACTCCGTTGAAAAACTGGAAATTTTTGTCACAAAATGAAGAAAACTCAAAGCCTCGTACTTTAAATAGGTTTTTCCGATCGAAAACGGCCCAGAAAAGTGAAAAAATTCGAAAAAAAACTGGATGAAAATGTAAACACGTCAATTGAAAATGGCCGACTGTCAAAAGTGGCAAATAATATTTATTACAAGGCCTCCTTGATTGAAGTTAGCTACAAGCGGTGTTGCCACATCAAAAGCATTTCAAATAGGATTTTGCCAATTATGGCATTTAAAACTAGAAATTTTTGCTAGAAAATGAAGAAAACTCAAAGCCTCGTATGTTACGTCGCTTTTTTTCATTAAAAAACCCCGGAAAAGTCGAAAATTCGAGAAAAAACTGACAAAAAATCACAAAAAGTCACTTCAAAATGGCCAACTAAAAGCAACGACGTTGCCACATCTCATCTCGGAAAACAAAAATAACATTTTAAAAGGGTTTTTTGTTTAAAATTCAATTTAATAATTAATTAATAATGATTATAATAATTAAAATTCCTCAAATAAATCATAGGAAACTTGTTTTTAATTTAATTTCAATGAAAATGACATTACAAGGTTTCTTTATTGATTATAGTGAGTAAGACAAAGACAACGATAAAGTAGTATATGTTTGCAAAAACCACCGTTTTCTGAAAAAAGTAAAAATCGTAAGAAAACCCCATAGAAAATCAACATTCCAAAGTCAATTTGATAAAACTAAAGTTTTTGAATATTCCCGACTCTTTGATCGGACGCTAAAAATCGCATTTTAAATACTCCCTGTTTTTAATTGGCTCCAAATTATCCGCTGACCAATAGAATTATAGACTGGGCCCCGTAATTGAATATAGAAAAAAAGCTATAAACAACAGTTTTAGAGGTTAAATACTCATCAGCTGTTACACGATTATGGAGGCTGCCGACAACCAAGCAGTGTGGCCGCGTCTACGCAGTTCATGGCTGGATACGTAAAGACGGTTGTGCCAGTGGTATACAGCCGGGTACTACAAAAATCAAGGCAGTCAAAGATTTTCCAGCCCCCAAAAGTGTGCACCAGGTCCGCGAATTTATCGGGTTATGCAGTATGCAGCTACTTCAGAAAAAACATCAAAGACTTCGCTCAAGAGTCGAGTTGCACGCCCGCTGACGTCATTAACAGAAAGAGATGTTACTTTTGAATGAGGAGAACTACGGGATAAAGCTTTCGATTAACTCAAACAGCTGTTACAGAGAGACCGATGTTAGCTCTATATAATCCAAGATCAGACACTGAGCTGCACACCGATACTTCGAAATTTGGTCTTGGTGGAATTTTGATGCAAAAACAAGACAATGGTAAACTGAAGCCAGTGATGTTTTACAGTCGACAGACTACAAAGGAAGAGCAGCAATCCAGTTGATGAGCCTCAGGATACACAAGAAATCGATTTTCTCCAGGTCGATATATCCAATGAAGACTGGGTCTTAGCTACACAGTTAAAACTGTTAAAAGATTATAGTTGCAAGTACCTTATAGAAGTTCTATCGAGAAAATCACGAAAAGTGGCAGATTCACAGAAAATATGAGATGAAAAATAAGATATTATATAAGAAGACTCCAAATGGACTTACGACGTGTAGTAACCATGTATCACCACGACAATATAGGACCTTTTGCAATAGAAAAGACCTTAAAAAATATAGGAAATAATTACTGGTTTCCTGGAATTAAAAAAATACAGAGGCCGTTATAAAACCGCTTGCTTACAATGTGCTTATAATAAAGCACCAAGTGGAAGAAAAGAAGGTTTTCTGCATCCAATCCCGAAGGCAACTATTCCTATGGATACAATACACGTGGATCACTTAGGACCTTTCGTGAAGAGCACAAAAAGCAAAGCAAAACCTACCCAATTATGGCAATAGATG